TTAATAAAATAGTGTCTTGCTATGTTTCCTAGGCTGGTCTCAAACTCCTGGGTTCAAATGATCCTCCTGCCTCAGCTTCCCAAGTAGCTCAGACTACAGGTGCATGCTGGTACACCTCGCTTTTCTGTTTTGACCTATGTTTTTCAGTTAAGAGGTTTTCCTCAAATGTCAGATAATTCTTGGTTCACTTATATTTGAGGCACTAAAAACTTATTTTCAGAACTCTGTGAATGAGGCAGTAAAAGTTTGTTTCAAAGCTCTTCTATTTCAAGAGTAGAAATAAAAATCCATTGACCTCAGGTGATCACTTATTATTAGAGACTCTTACCTGCTGGTACCCATGAGACTTTCCTGGAATATCTCAGTTCTTCTAGAGACATATTTGTAAATCTCTTGCCTGGCTGTTGGTGATGTGGATCAGAAGAAGGAAGGAAAATTTGGTCTCATGGTTCAGTCTGCAGACTTTCACCTAAAACCCTAGTCTTTCCTGTTCTCTACCTCTGAATCTCTAGTTCAATTTCTCTAGAGAATAATTCTGTAGATTCCTGTGCAGACAGAATAAAGGTTGTACGGGGACCTGAGGATTCTAAGACTTTCAGATCACCCATCCACTGCCTTACCCCCACTTCCTGTTCTGCCTGTGTCCTCAGTTGCTGTGTATTTAGAACAGATTCATTTATCTCTCTGCAGGTCCTATGCTTGACCATTGTCCCTTCTGCTGAGTAATCTGTCATCCTTCATATATTATGGTTTACAGTTGCAGATGACACCTAGTTTTACTGATGATGGAGTTTCAGTTTCTCATCCTCTCTTGATTTGGGGTGATATTTGGTTTTGGGTTTTTTTGTTTGTTTGTTTGTTTTTGAGACTGAGTCTCACTTTGTCTCCCCATCTGGGACGGGGTGATCTTGGCTCACTGCAACCTCTGCCTCCTAAGTTTAAGTGGTTCCACTGCCTCAGCCTCCTGAATAGCTGTGATTACAGGCATGCACCACCACACCCAGCTAATTTTTGTATTTTTAGTAGAGACAGGGTTTCACCACGTTGGCAAAGCTGGTGGTCTTGAACTCCTGACCTTAAGCAGTCCGCCCACCTTGGTCTCCAAAAATGCTGGGCTTCCAGGTGTGAGCCACCACACCCAGCCAATCTGGGGTGGTATTTGAAAGAAAGAAGACAACAAACACCATTTTTAAAACTGAAAAACTTATATTAAACTTAGTAGTAAAGTAGGATTTTTATTTTTATTTATTTATTTATTTTTTT